GGGAGGATTTCGGGGTGAGGTTCTCCCAGCACAGGCACCCACGGAGCTGCTCCTGCTGTGCCCACCGCCCCTCGGAGATCCCTGCTGGCATTTCATTCCTGGGGGAACCACCCAACACATCCACTGCAAGGGACCTTTGTGCCTTAAGCACTTTAGGTCCACAAAGTCATCAGGGATGAGGATGCAGCTGCTCTACCTGTGCACAGGCCTCAGCTTTAGGGCAAGAGGCAGCACACCCCAAACCCTGTCCCTGTTTGTGCCCCCGTGTGCCAGCCGCACTCACTCCTTGGGATGTGACACCAAACAAAGCCTTTCTGGTAAAACCCTCTCAACAGGATCTCTCTCCCAGCCACCCACATGCTCTCGAGGATGTGTTCAATCGCTCTGGAATGATCCCCCTCTGTGAGGAAGGATCCACCACTCCCTGTGTGGTGAACGACTTCCCACTGCCCGTCTGGCCGTAGGCAAAGATGGTGCCACTGTAGCCCTTGGTGACACCCTGGAAATGGGGGAAAACCAAATAAGATAACCATCCACCCTTTGCCTAACTGGGAATACATCATCCACACTCCATTCCACCTCCTGAAAGGTTTTTTAAAAGAAGAGCTGGAAGTAAACATCAAACAACCGCCTGATCTTCACTTGCCACCGGAGTATGATTATTAAGAAATTTGCATATAAATCAATGTTTTTCTCTCAAAACTGGAAATCTTGAAGCAATGCAGGTGTTGCAAAGCAGTTGACAACAATTAGAAAACCAGAATGTTTTTATGATAGGGCATAAAAACCTTATGAAACCCAGAGTGACAATTAGAACTCTGCTTGGTTGTGGAGGTCCAAAGGGATGGTCTTTAGCTTTGAATGATTTTCTCTTAGCAAGCTGCTCACTGTCACTTCTTCCTATTTCAGAGAAGCATGATAGGAACAGAAAATACTTGCATTTCTTAAGGTTTAAATAAAAAAATGAACCTATTAATCTGATAATCTGCTGTTTCAGACTCTGCTTGTTCTCACAACCAGGAACTTTTATCTTAAAGCCGTCATGAACCATTTAATCTGTGTTTCTTCTTCTAACAAAATTGGGTTTTTGAGGGAGGTTGGGCTTTTCTTTGCTCAACTAGTTCTTTCTCATCCCAGCTGTTTTCCATGCTGAGGTGTTAACAAGGAAATAAAGAGATCCCCTCTCATTTTGCCAGTCTAAGCCATGCTGAGGTTCCCCATCTTCTCTAAGGTTTCTCTCACCTGACAGTAAAAATGTCCATAAAATCATCAGGAGTCTTGTTTGTCCCCTTTCTTCTCTAGGGCCTGTTCATGAGAACCTCTGCTCTGGAGCCAGGCTGGGAGAGCTGGGGGGGTTCACCTGGAGAAGAGAAGCTCCAGGGAGACCTGAGAGCCCCTTCCAGGGCCTAAAGGGGCTCCAGGAGAGCTGGAGAGGGACTGGGGACAAGGGATAGAGGGACAGGACAAGGGGAAATGGCCTCTCACTGCCAGAGGGCAGGGATAGATGGGATATTGGGAAGGAATTCCTGGCTTTGAGGGTGGGGAGGCCCTGGCACAGGTTGCCCAGAGAAGCTGTGGCTGCCCCTGAATCCCTGGAAGTGTCCAAGGCCAGGTTGGATGGGGCTTGGAGCAGCCTGGGATAGTGGGAGGTGTCCCTGCCCATGGGAGGGAATGAGACGATCTTTAGGGTCCCTTCCAACCCAAACCATTTGGGGATTCTACAATATAAACATCCACCTAAAACAATTCAATATAATTCTCTTCTTGATGTTCCTGCTGGATGCCAAAAATCTTTTTTATCTTCCTAGAGGAGGACACTGTTTGCCCTCCTCTGCACCTCAGGGTTGCAGCTAAACCTGTTGAAGTAGCAGACAGGGCTGTTTCTGTCCATAAATCACAGAATCCCAGAATGGTTGGGGTTGGGAGGGACCTTAAAGCTCATCTCATTCCATGCCCTGCCATGGCCAGGGACACCTTCTGGTGTGGGGAAGGTCCAGGGGATCCTGCTCCACTTAGGGATCAGCTGTCCATGTACAGCCCCTCAGCCCACGTCCCCAGCCATGTGTCCACAGAATCACAGAATATCCTGAGCTGGAAGGGACCCACAAGGATCGAGTCCCACTCCTGGCCCTGCACAGACACCCCAACAGCCCCTCCATGTCCCTCAGAGCACTGTCCAAACGCTCCTGGAGCTCTGGCAGCCTTGGTGCTGTGCCCACTGCCCTGGGGAGCCTGGTCAGTGCCAACCACCCTCTGGGGAGAGGGGTGATCACCCCTTTTCCTGAGATCCAACCTAAACCTCCCTGACACAGCTCCAGCTGTTCCTTGGGTCCTGTCACTGGGCACAGAGAGCAGAGGTTGGTGCTGCCCATTGTGAGGAAGCTGCAGACCCTGATGAGCTCTGCCCTCAGGCTCCTCTTCTCCAGGCTGAACAGACCCAGTGCCCTCAGCCACTCCTCGTATGGCTTCCCCTCCAGGCCCTTCACCATCTCTGTAGCCTCCTTTGGACACTCTCTAATGGCTTAATATCTTTGTGGTGCCCAAAACTGCCCCCAGTGTTGGGTGCATGGTGTTTGCCTGGGTGCCCACTCACCTGCAGGAGGTGATGTCGCTGTGGTTGTGCCCGGTGCTGTGGTTGGTGCTGTCCTCAGTTCTGTGCCCAATTCTGTGAGGAAGCTGCTCAGTGCTGTGCCCACTTCTGTGCTCAGTTCTATGCTTATTTTCTGCTCAGTTCTGTGCCCAGTTCTGTACCTGGTGCTGTGCCCAGTGCTGTGCCCAGTGCTGTACCTGGTGCTGTGCTCAGTTCTGTGCCCAGTTCTGTACCTGGTGCTGTGCTCAGTTCTGTGCCCAGTTCTGTGCCCGGTGCTGTGCTCAGTTCTGTGCCTGGTGCTGTGCTCCTGGCTGAACACCCCGTCGAAGGTGAGCTCTCTGGGGGCTCTCTGGGGCCGTGGGGTTTGGAGGAGGCACCAGCCCCGTGCTGCCCACACTGACGATCGTCCAGCACCCCCAGGGCCACCTCGTGCTCGCTCAGGGCCTGGCAGTGAACAACCACCTTCACCACCCCCGGCCAGTGCCCTGCTCACCCCATACACCCGGGTCACCCCACACACCAGGGTCACCCCACACACCACGGTCACCCCACACACCCAGGTCACCACACCACAGTCAGCCACACGCACACCTGGGTCACACCATATACCTGACTCACCTTACACACACACCAGGGTCACCCCCCACGAGCTGGTCAGACCCACACACCCAGGTCAGACTCACACAACTGATCAGCCCCTCACACCCAGGTTGGCCCCACACACTTGGGTCACCCCACACATACCAGGGTCAGCTCCACACACCCGTGTGACTCTACACACCCAGGTCAGCCCCACACAACCCGATCAGCCTCTTACACCCAGGTCAGCCCCATACACACCGGGTTCACTCCACACACCTGGCTCACCTTACATACACCCAGATCAGCCACACACAACCCAGGTCAGCCCCCCCCCCCAGATCAGCCCCACATACCTGGGTCAGCCCCACAACACCCTGTTCATCCCCACACACCCCATACACCGATCAGCCCTTCCCCCCGGATCGTGTGGGTGCATCACACGAGTGTGCAGGGGCTGGGAGTGCACGGGTGTGAGCTCACGAGGGCACACGGGCAGGACAGTGTGTGTGCACGATCGTTCCCACACACCCAGACCAGCCCCTCACGGTGGGGTCAGTCCCACACGCCCGGTTCCCTCCACACTCCCGGCTTGGCCCCACAAGCGCTTGCTTGGCCGGGCTGGGGGGCACCGGTGGCCGGGGGAAGGTTGGGGCAACCCAAAGGCGGGGTCTGCTCCCCTCGGTGGGTGGGACCACTCACCCCTCGCTGGGGACACGCAGGGGAAGGTCCCCCGAGCCGGGGGGCTGGGGAAGAAGGGGGGAGTATGGAGGGAAAGAGCTGGGGAGGGATGGAGGGAAAGGGGGAAACTGGCAACAAACCTGAGAGGGGACTAGGGCGGGTCAGGGGGGGAAACCTGAGGGGGTCTGTGAGGGGAAACCCTGAGGGGAGACTGTGGGGGAAACCCTGAGAGCAGGAAACCCTGGGGCAACTTTTGGGAGCCGGGACAAGCCGAAGGGGGGCTGAGCGAGGGAAAACGAGGTGCCGGTGCCGGGCAGGTCCGAGGGAGCGCAGGGGGACCCCGAGGGGGTCTGGTGGGCTGAGGGTCCCGAGGGGTGAGGGAAGTGCAAGGGCACACGTGTGCGTGTGCAAGGGGGACGTGAGGGTGTGTGCCCGCGTGTGCAAGGGGTGGGCACGAGGGCAGGCGTGCAAGAGGGGGTGCACGGGGGCACATGTAAGGGGGGCACAAGGGCACTCGTGTGCGAGGGGAGGTGCTCGAGGACACGTGTGCAAGAGGGGGTGCACGGGGGCAGAAGGACACTCGTGTGGAGAGGAGGTGCACGAGGACGCGTGTGCACGACACAGGGCACAAGGGGCACCCCTGTGTGGGAACCAGGAGCGCGGGGCCGTGAGCGTGCGGTGGCACCGGTCCCCGGCCGCGCCAGTGCGCGGGTGTGGCCCCCGCGGGGGCAAGAACCTGCGTGTGCCACCACAAGTGCGTGTGAGTGCACGACTGCAGCGGTGCGTGGGGCCGCAAGGGCGCGAGGGGTTGAGCTCTCACGCCCGTGGGAGTGCAAGGGCACGAGCACAAACACCCGGTGCGGGCGTGCAAACGTGCGGGTGCATCCTGCGGGTGTGCAGGGGCTGCGAGCGCACGGGTGTGAGCTCAGGAGGGCGCGGGGGCAGGACAGTGTGTGTGCACGAGTGTGGGCACACAGGTAGGACAGTGCGTGGGCACACAGGTAGGACAG